ACGGGGGTGGGACGGGGGGGCTCTGGGGTTGCGTGCCCCCACCCCCGTCCCCGGTGCCACCCCCTGTCCCCATCCCCAGCCGTTCCCCCACCGCCGCTGAGGGGCAGAGCCATGAGTGTGGGCTGAGCCCAACCCGACCCCCCCGGGAGCAGCGCCCGCGCTGAGGTGAGGGGCTGAGGGGGGGGAACTGGGGGGACTGGGAGGCACTGGGAGGCCCTGGGAGGCAGAGAGAGGCACTGGGACCGCTGGTTTGTACTGGGTGGTACTGATTTCCAGTGGGTGGCACTGGGTGGCACTGGAGACACTGGGTGGCAGTGCATGGCACTGGGAGCACTGGTTTGCACTGGGAGCACTGGTTTGGCATTGGTTCCTACTGGGGACACTGGATGGCAGTGCTGCGGGCACTGGGAAGCTCTGATTTCCACTGGTTTGCACTGGGAGCACTGGTTTGCATTAAGGATACTGGGAGGCACTGGTTCGCAGTGGGGACACTGGGTGGAACTGGGTGGCACTGGGATGCACTGGACACACTGGGTGGCAGTGCAAGGCACTGGGAGCACTGGTTTGTACTGGGTGGCACTGGGAGCACTGGTTTGCCCTGGGACACTGGGTGGCAATGTGGGACACTGGAAGCACTGGTTTGCACTGGGAGCACTGGGTGTCACTGAGTGGAACTGAGGACACTGGTTTCCACTGGGTGGCACTGGTTTGCACTGGGAGCACTGGTTTGGCACTGGTTCCTACTGGGACACTGGTTGGCAGTGCTGCGGGCACTGGGAGGCTCTGGTTTCCACTGGTTTGTACTGAGGCACTGGTTTGTACTGGGAGCACTGGTTTGCATTAAGGATACTGGGAGGCACTGGTTTGCAGTGGGGACACTGGGTGGCACTGGGGGCAGTGGGGGGCACTGGGAGCACTGGTTTGTACTGGGTGGCACTGCATGGAACTGAGGGCACTGGGATGCACTGGACACACTGGGTGGCAGTGCGAGGCACTGGGAGCACTGGTTTGTACTGGGTGGCTCTGGGGGCACTGCTTTGTACTGGGTGGCACTGGGGACACTGGTTTGTACTGGGTGGCACTGGGATGCACTGGTTTGTACTGGGTGGTACTGGGGGCACTGGTTTGCCCTGGGACACTGGGTGGCACTGAGTGGAACTGAGGACACTGGTATCCACTGGGTGCACTGGTTTGCAGTGGCAGCACTGGTTTGGCACTGGTTCCCACTGGGGGCACTGGGTGGCTCTGGTTTGCACTGGGAGGCAATGGGGACACTGGGTGGCAGTGAGGGGCACTGGGAGCACTGGTTTGTACTGGTTTCCATTGGGGACACTGGGCAACAGGGTGAGATACTGGTTTGACACTGGTTTCCACTGGGTGGCACTGGTTTGCACTGGGAGCACTGGTTTGGCACTGGTTCCCACTGAGGACACTGGGTGGCAGTGTTGGGGGCACTGGTTTGTAGTGGGTGGCTCTGGGAGCACTGGTTTGTACTGGGAGCACTGGGAGCACTGGTTTCCCCCACTTCTCACTGGTTTGCACCATTTTGCACTGGTGCACACTGGTTTGTACTGGTGTGAATGGGTCTATACTGGTTCTCACTGGTTCATACTGACGCACACTGGGTTGTACTGGTGCCTACTGGTTCTCACTGGTCTGCACTGCTTCTTGAACTGTTTCACACCAGTTTGCACTGGTGCGTGCTGGTTTGTACTGGTTCTCATGGGTTCATACTCATTCTTACTGGTTCATACTGGTTTATACTGGTGTGAATAGTGCCATACTGGTTCCCAGGGGTTCATACTGGTGTGCACTGGTTTATTTCTTCTGGTGCACATTGGTTTCATCTCGTGCCCACTGGCTCTCACTGGTTTGTACTGGTTCTCACTGGTTTATACTGGTTCTTAGGGGTTCATACTGGTTCTCGCTGGTTCATACTGGTCCCCATGGGTCCATACTGGTGCACACTGGTTTATTGGTACTGCTCCCCCCCGCCCCCACCGGCTCACGCTGCCTCCTGGGGGGCTGCGCAGCGGCACACGGTGCTCTGCACTGGGTCATACTGGGTCACACTGGGTCACACTGGTTCGTCCTGGCACATACTGGCTCATACTAATTCATACTGGCTCTTACTGGTCCATGCTGGCTCCTACTGCCTCTTACTGGTCCATACTGGCTCATACTGGCTCATACTGGTTCATACTCGTTCACATTGGCTTATACTGGTTCACATTGGTCCATACTGGTTCTCTGTGGCTTATACTGGCTTATACTGGCTCTTAGTGGTTCATACTGACTCATACTGTGTCATATTGGTCCATACTGGTCCGTACTGGCTCATACTGGTCTGTACGGATCCATACTAGTGCATTCTGGCTCATACTGGTCCACACTGGTCTGTACTGGTTCATATTGGCTCATACTGGTCATACTGGTTCCTACTGGCTCATACTGATTCATACTGGTCCATACTGGTCCGTACTGCTCCATACTGGTCCGTACTGCTCCATACTGGTCCATACTGTCCCGTACTGGTCCGTACTGGTCCATGCTGGCTCATACTGGTCCATGCCGGTCCGTACTGGTCCGTGCCGGCTCACACTGGTCCATGCTGGTCCCGCAGCCCCGCAGGATGCGGCCGGGCCCGAAGCCGCTCTGCCTGCTGCTGCTGGCCTCGGCCTCGCTGGCCGCGCTGCTGCTGCACCTGTGTGCCCCCAAAGCCCCCCCCCGCAGCGTGGATCTGCGGCACCCCCAGAGCGACAGCCTCCCGGCCCCCCCGCCCGGAGCCCCCCCCCGCGCCTACCCGCACATCGCCTTCCGGCTGAAGGACGACGTCATGGGGTGAGTGGGGGGCGGGGGGATGAGGGAAATGGGGGCGTTGGGGTATGGGTGGGCGTGGTTGGGGATGGGGGCTGTTGGGGGAAATGGGGGCGTTGGGGTGTTGGGGGAAATGGGGGTGTTGGGGGTGTTGAAGGTATTGGGGGAAATGGGGGTGCTGGGGGGACAATGAGGGAAATGGGAACATTGGG